AAATATTTTCGAGTATTTGCTGAATCGAATAATGAAGAATTACTAGCAGGGAAACTAATCATTAACCTACGTAGAAATGAATAATTAGCGAGTATTTAGGGAATTCATGGTCTTCGTAGAATTCAACGGTTTATCGATCATGTAAGAGTCCTTGAAAAATACTTGTCTTCACATGATGAAGATCTTCTAACAGATACAATAGTTCAATACACATTCGATGATATTGAGATACTGAAGGTATTCCTCGAAGCTTATACCTGTAATGTTCTTTCTATCTCACTCTATCAATCCTATTATTTTCTCTAAAATCTCTCTCTAACTATATGTAAATGTCAACTTTACATATTGGCAGGTCTTCTTCTAAGTACTGATACTTCTCAGAAATCAAAAATTTTAAAAAGGTTAGAATACTAAGAGAAAAAAATACACTATTAAAAATAATCAATAATTGTATAACTCACCAATTAAATACCAAATCTTTCATAGTTCTTCCTTCTTTAAAATGAAACTTTATCCAATCATACAAAATTTAACTTTTATAACTTTCTAGCTATGAAGACAGACAGTGATCGAAGTTTCCATTGATATTGCAATTAATGTGAAATTAATTGACACTGTGACTGTACATTACGTACGCATACTTTCGTTACATTCTGTTTAATCTTGACGAATATTTGACATGATAATTAGAAACAAAAACAGAGACAGACGCCTTATTATATTATTTTATATGTTTACTCAAATAGTGCAATATTTTTTCAGCCAGAAAATGTAATGTACTTTTCGTATGTAAAAGTATATAGGTATGACTAAGACTATGTTTCAACCTAGTTTTAATACGAAAAACAAGATGATCGATTGTTAAATTCTATGAAGAATCAAAACAATTTGATCAAGTATTCTTTTTTTTGTTTAAGAAATTTTTCACATTTATATAATTCGAATGAAATAATGTTACGTATATTTAAAGAACTTGATATTAATGATGACAAACGAATATCGAAACAAGAATTTAAATTATATAAAAATATTTTATTAGAACAAGAAAAACGTTTTAATCGAGCATCATTTGAAGAAAAATTAAGTTCAATATTTGCTTTATTTGATCGTAATCAAGATAATTATATATCTCCTCATGAAATTCGTGAAACAATGCATAATTTAGGTGAAAATATTGATGATGATTTAATTGAAGAAATGATGCAAACAGCTGATATAGATCATGATGGTCGAATAAGTCGAGATGAATTTGAAAAACTTCTTATTCAATTACTTTCAAAAAAATAAAAAAATAAAACATTATTTTATCTTTTTTTTTTGCTATTTTATTTGACAACTGAGAAAAAAGAACAAACAATTTTTGAGGTTTTTTTGTTTTACTTTATACACAACATGAAAATCTAAATAGATATTATATTAAAAAACTTTTCGATCAATAATAGTTGTTCGTTTTCTTAGAATATCATCAATTGTTTCATCTTTTTGATAAAATTCTTTACGTAATTCATTTAATTGTGCTTCAATTATTTCTTTATTATTATTATTAGTATTTAATGGTTTATATTCTTTTGTTGTTGTTTGTGGTAATAATTGAGAAGGCATAAATGATGTTGAATTACTTGTATTTGTTGTTTCAATATCCATACCACGTAAACGTTCTTCATGAAGTTCACGTTCTTTTTTATTTAATTCTTCTTGAGCTATTTGTACCTGTAAACAAAATAATATAATAAGTTTAAGAAAGAAAAATATTTATTATTCTTATTCTTACTTTAACACGATTAAATAATTCTTCAAGTAATCTCATCGATTCTAATTTTCGATGAGCAATTAACATTTTTCGTTCTTCTAATGCTATTTTCATTGCTAAAGTTTTTTCTTCATGTTGACGTTTACGTTCTAAACGTTTTAATCGACGTTTCTCTTCTCTAAAAAAAAAGAAATTAACAAATTTATTTAAAAAATTATCAATGCAACCCAATTGAAGTTAAAATGTGAAATTCACATGCGTTCGTCAGCCTCATTATACAAATAGAAAGTATGTAAAGTGAAAAATCTCGAACAGACTATAGTTGTTTTCCAAGGATAAATCAGTCGTCAGACAAACAATCTTTCTTATTTATTTCTGCATTTTAAACAGAAATTTTTTATGAAAAATGATCTAAAAGGAGTTTTGAAGTATATAGGTTAGAAGCCTATACTCCCCCACCCGTATCCTCCTCTACGTTACAATATATGAACTAGTTTCTTATTGTATTTTTGAAGGATGAAGTAAAATTAGGGTGAAGACACGTGTTCCTAGATTGGTAGAATAAAACATTTTCCATGTAATTAGTAACAGTAGCTACATTGTGCTTTATATTTTAATACTGCAGAGATTGTGCTATTTTTACTAGCGCTCTATGTTTAGTTTGCCTTGTTAATATTCGTTCGTTATTTTGTTTTTGTATTCTGTTTTTCTTAATTTCGCATAATTTCATTCAAACGATTCGTTTAACTTGTATAATAAATCTGTGATACCAATCCATTATATCTGCAACTGTATAAGCACTATTATATACCTCGAGAAGTTCACAAACGTTAATATTGATTATTTCTCGAAGTTATAACTCATTCAGTTTATACTTTAAATGTTGATCATAAGGTCAGTGTGACAAATCAATACATCACTAACCATCATCTTTGACATCTAATATATAAATTTTTATCCATACAAAAGTCAAACCGCATTATTTAGAACATTCTCAAGCGTATTTCAATCATTTTTATTTCTAGAAAAGCTTTGGAATGTTCTAGAAGAGTCTAAGTCTAAATTGTTAATGCTATTCAGCGCCCTATTTGTTTTCGTGCTAAGAAATTTCAGAGAAAGCCTGCTACTCGTTGTTCTATATTGCTAGCGTGTGAAAGAACGAAGAAGACAACAAAACCTCGACTTAAAAGTTACACTCATTATTTTCTTTGAAAATACGTGTGAGTTCCACAAAAATAAAAGAATTTTTTATTTACCGTTGTCGACGTCGACTATCTTTAGTTATATCTTTACTTCCAGTTAAATCATCAGCTTCAGCATCTTGTAATTCAATTCTTAACCTAAAATTATAAATAAATATTTGAATTCTTATGTTTTATATGCAATATTAAAAAATAATTTATTTACCGTTCAATTTCTTTTCGACGTTCATCTTCATCTTTAAGTCGTTGAGCTTCAGCTTGTTTTAATTTATTTAATTCCATTGATTTCATTTGTTCAATACGACGTTTTTTAATCATTCGATCAGATAAATGTCTTGTTCGATCAAAATCAACCTATAAATAAACATATTAACATATTTATATTTCATCTCGAAAAGTTTTACTTTAATATTTGTTGTATAAGCCGTATTTGTATCATCAATTAACATTAATTTCATATTTCGACATGCATCCATTGCTTTAACAAATCCAATATATTCACTATATTGTACATAAGCATCAAATGTTGTATCTTGTGATAGTGAAACAGCAGTGCCTAATGCACCATTTGATACACGAAATGGATCAAGATATGGAATGTCACAACAACGTATTTCACCAAATGTTGAAAATACTTGTTGAAGTATTTCTAGTGATGGTTTATTTTCTTTTTCATCAACAGTAGAAGTTGTTGATGTTGCAGGTAGACCACTGGGACCAATAGCTGCTGCAGCAACTTGAACGGCTTGCATTGGATTTTGTTTTGGCTAGAAAATATATTTAAATATCAATTGAAGAACTTTAGAATTGATGGTACATACGTTGTACCACCTACTCCTCAATAGAAAAGAAAATGTTTGCTCTACACTACATTATTATCATCTGTAATGCTATAAAAATCATAAATTGTCCCATCTGCTAGCACATGCATATCCCGAGACGAACTAATGAGTTTAGAATACTTCTCTGTGAACTATGACAAATTTTAGCTAAGAGTATGATAAAGTATCCTGCTACTAATTTGTAGAAAGCTCTGGACCTACGCTCTTCTAGATCAGGACCCAGTCCTATTCAGATTCGAGTTGTTTTTTTTTCACCATTATCTGACATCTTCTAAGATGTCAAGAATTCAATTTAGGTATAGAACAAGTACTCAACTACTGAAATATTTCTGGGATATATCAATAACGAAATAGTGAATATGATAAAGAGAGTATCCTGAACTCAGTACATTCACTAAGCGATATTTTTCAGTCTCCAAAGGATTTAAATTTAAAGTCTTGAATACATCGAAGTTATTTCTATTGCATAGGAAGAACATTTTATCCAACTAAAGCCATTACATTAAAAATTGAAATATTTTGTTACATGTGTAATATTTTTATGTTCAGTTGAATATTTTGTTTTTTTTGACAAAACAATTATTTCGAATAATTTAATTACCTGAAACCATCGTATTGGTAAACCTTCAATATGAATTGTATCTGCGCGTTCACCAGGTTTTGTTTCATTCATACTTTTACTTTCACGAAAAAATGTTTCCCATTCTGTTCTTGTTGGATATGGTAATTTTGCATCAGCTGCACGTAAACGAAATTCATGTCCTGTTGATTCCATTCGAATAAGTATATTATCCAAACGTGTTAAACAACTACGTGCTATTACTTTTGATTCTAATTCACCTTCAAGACGATAAAGTTCACCAGCACTTTTTAATAAACGTAAAAAAACAAATTCATCAGGTAAAATTAATTCGCGTATTTTATCCATTATTTCCCATGTCGACATTGTTGCACCAGCAATACGCATTGTTGGTGAAATAGGTACACTTATGTTAATACGTGCTATTGGTTTTAAATACATACGCTAAAAAGTAAAATAAAAGAATTAAAACTGATTATTTTTCCTCAAGAAGAATTTTCTTACTAATGCTTCACATAGATCGACTCGTTCACTTAAATCTTTACATTGTATTATATTCGACATGATTATAATTAATCTGAAAGACAAACAAAAAAATAAATAAGAATTGTTTTTTTTTTTATAGCTTATTTATTTGAATTTATTGAGCGTGTAAAAAAGTCAAAAGTTATTCCTGTAACAATGGATGGAATTCGTTCTATTTTAAAATCAATCGATTGTTCAAAACCATTATTAAGACCAAATAATAATTGTTTAGCAGTACGCCGTAATATAGGATTTTCATCTTTAATTGCATCATCAAGTTTTATCCATTTACAATCAAGTACTTCATTTTTATCAAAATTTATTGTATCTGTTACAGCCGATAAACGACATATAAAATATATATCCGAACGACCATGACCACCTAAATTACTTAATCATTAAATAGTAATGTTCTCTGTTTTTTTTAAATTTTTTATCAAAAAGCAAACCAGGATATCGATGTGCTTGACGAAATCCAATAATTGATTCAAATTCTAATAAAAAACAGTTATGTTTTAACTAAGAACTCTTTGAAACATACTCGCATGAATACCAGTTTCTTCAAGTACTTCACGTATCGCACCATCAGCTAAAATAAGAATACAGTTTAAGTACTTTGAAGGAAAATACCCAAGGTGATTATACGATGGACAACAACGTAAACATTAGGTGAAAAGGTGAAATTGAGCTTTTTAGCTATTTACATTGTAACTGCTACAGTTTTATTAATGGCTAGTTTGTTTTTTTTTTTCGTAAAAACAAACTTTATCTCAGGTGATAAATTCATTGAAAAACCTTAGTCGTAAAAAAGAATTACATTTTAGCACTTTTAAAGAAAATATCATTTTTATGTGAAAACTGAAAAAAGAACTGAACAATACATTAGATATGATCTGAAACTATGATTTCTGCTCTATCGACACAGATATGTCATTAAAGCCGAGTTCACTCGAAAATCCAATCAATCTATGAAAGAACATTCTTTTCGGCTGGAACTTTCAGAATATTCTGAGAGTAACTAGAATCCAGTAAACTGGTTACGACTCAACGCCAAAGATCGGTGGGAATAAACCCCTTATAGGATTTTTCTAGTCTCACTGAAACCTGTGTGTAGGTCCAATAGGAGTTCAAACGAATGGTGCCAGTTGGAATAGTTTCCTCATAAGTGTTGTCCGAACAAACGACTTCAATAAAGTTCATCGCTACTTTTTTCCACTAATTCGATATCAAAAAAACTTTCAGATGATATTCTTTCATATTTGGAAAGGTACACTCAGTTAGCGCAAATGCTTCTACGACGAGATACAAGTTTTCTAAAAATCATAGTTTTTTTCAAGTTCTTTCATGATTTTTTTGTTATAGAAGCACCTCGAGAGAAAAATATAGATATATTTAGAATCAACATGAAAATCAGCATCAAGTGATGTACCAATTTATCAATTTTTTTATAGAAATATTTTACTTCAAGGAGTTTAGAATAAGAATGTCCTTCAAGGATTTTCCATTGCAAATGGTCTTTTCTTCGTCAGTCTTATTTTTTTGCGTACAAGTAGGTAATATTTATGTAAAAAAAAATCGTTTTTGACAGAAAATAAGTCATGTGTACATGCTCAATAGAAATTGTTCACTACAAATTAATCTTACCAATATTTTCCGAAAGTTCAGCAGATCCTAGAAGACTATAGACATGTTCATTGTTGTCAAATTTTTGAAGCATTTTAAATTGAAATGCTTACCTCCCGGTAACTAAAAGAAAAATAATTTAAATCTTTATCATCTCTTTTACGTGTTTCTTTTACCTTCCAAATTTCTCGATTTCTAATACGTTCTTTAACAATAAGTAATTCATTTGTTTTATTATGAAGAACAGCTCCACCTACTCCAACTAGATAACAAAAACATCTAACCGATTAATAAATTCTATAAAAAATGTACCTTGATGCCTAAAATATTACAAAACAAAATAATAAATATTATTCAAATTCAAAAATCTATTCTTTTATATATACGTAGCAAAACGTGGTATCATAGATTTTATTGGTAATAACCATTTATTTAATACAGCAGTTCTTTCTTCGGCATTGTGATAAGTAAATCCTTAAAGAATAAAAACAAAAATCATTTTATTATTGTATAAAATTATTTCTTTACCTAATTCAGCAGCAATTGGTATAACATGTGCTTTTTCAATTGGAATCCAAAGCCAAGCAGATGTACGTTTATCTTTTTGCCATTGTTCAAGTGAATCTAGAATATAAATATTTCTTTTTTTAATTATGTAAGACAAATTGAATACGGACTAGAAAGTGTTTCTCTAATGATTTTTGTATCATTTGGCCAATCTTGAATTCGAACTCGAGTACCATTAAAGCGATCAATTTCATAGGGTAGTATACATACTTGTGAAAATAATCGACACGGTAAAATATTCAGTAATGGTCTAAACGCAAAAAGGGACATTGGTAAATGAGTACCAGTGTTTGCAATGGAAATCTAAAATAAAATGTTTTCTCACATTTTGCTTAAACAAGCAAAGTGTGTGTGTGTTTACATTTTCTTGTGGTTGTATTAAAGCGCAGAAAAATCCAAGTTTCTTTGACAATCTATAAAGTAAAGAAAATTATATTCATTTTTTTTTCCTAATGAGAAAAATAAGTTGATGCTTATAAACCAAATAAACGATAAAAAAAACATGTAGGATTTTACCATCTGACATGTTTACAAATAATAGCGAGATAATAAATACGAATTTATTTAACAAAACATAAATTAAGAATTAAGCTTATATGATCGTGTTGCAGCTTTAATAGTTTTAGGCTCAAAATGTGAATATCTTTAGCATCATGTCCTAGAGTATCTTGTTCTTCTGAGTAATGTGATAAAATAGTATATATATATATATAAATCTAAAGCAACAGATATTCTATATATTTTGCTTCCATTTGACACATTTACTATTATTGCAGCAACACACAGATAATATTTATTACAATATTTTTCTTCTTACGGTATTCGTTTATTCTAGAACGAAGTACATTTTAACAAACAGATGTCACTTGAAAAAGTTTAATAAACCGCATTAGTGTTTCATTAAGATAAATTTAAGAAAAAAAGAATCGAAAAATGATATATTTATTTTAAAATATATTTCTTTTTGTTATTTTTAAACCAATCAATATAATATAATCTATGTTTGTTTATTCATTATTTTAAAATAGTTCTCTTCTCATTTGATTACTGTCAGTTTTTTTTTTCTCTTTCTTGAATGTCATCATCAATCAACTTTTCTCTGTTTCTTTTTCCTCCTATAGAAAGAAACTTTTTTTTTTTTTTATAAATTGCTTATTTAAATTAATTCTACACCTGTCAAACAACAAAAATCTCTTTTATTTAGGTGTAATTAATTCAATGACCACAACACCAGGGCCTATCGGTCCTCATAGTCGTAAAAAGGTTTCCTACTATTATGATTATGATGTAGGAAATTACTATTATGGGTATATAATTCAATAAAATTTAATATTTTAATATAAAGATAAAAAAACACGTCCTTTTTTCAATTAGACAAGGCCATCCAATGAAACCTCATCGTATACGTATGGCCCATAATTTAATTCTTAATTATGGTCTCTATCGTAAAATGGAAGTTTATGTATGTATATAAACTAAAAATTAATTTTTCTTTTAAAAAAAGTAATTCTCGTTATTTTTAGCGTCCACATAAAGCTGTAGCTGAAGAAATGACACGTTTTCATAGTGATGAATATGTGAAATTTATACAAAATGTTCGACCAGATAATATTATGGAGTTTAATAAACAAATGCAACGATGTAAGTTTATGTTTTTTTTTTTTTATTGACAATTAAAAATGTAGATAAATTACAAAATAATTCACTAAAAAAAAATATTAACATATGAAGATCTACTTTCATTCATAATACGAAATAAATCAGCCAATGAAAATAGAATAGTGTCATTGTGTAAATTGTTAAAGGTATAATTTGATCTAAAATTGCTCAAAAAAGAAAATTCTCGATTATTTTCTAATTTATTTATAGCATATTATTTTAGTTTTTTTGACTAATTGAATAAATAATATTTGTTTTAATTTTTAGTTAATGTCGGAGAAGATTGTCCAGTATTTGAAGGTGTTTATGAATTTTGTCAAATATCAGCAGGTGGTTCATTAGCTGGTGCAGTTAAACTTAATCGAAAATTAACTGATATTGCTATTAATTGGGCTGGTGGTCTTCATCATGCAAAAAAATCTGAAGCATCTGGTTTTTGTTATATAAATGATATTGTTTTGGCTATACTTGAATTACTCAAGTAAATTAATATTTATAAAAAATATAATTTTCTGTTCTTGTTCTTTAAAGATATCATCAACGAGTACTTTATGTTGATATTGATGTTCATCATGGTGATGGTGTTGAAGAAGCATTTTATACAACTGATAGAGTAATGACGGTATCATTTCATAAATTTGGAGAATATTTTCCAGGCACTGGCGATCTTCGAGTAAATTATTAACAGGCAAATAATAAAAGGATTTTTGATTGGTTTTTTTCTTTCTATTAAGGATATCGGTGCTGGTCGTGGTAAATATTATGCTGTTAACTTTCCACTTCGTGATGGAATTGATGATGATACATATGAAACAATTTTTAAACCGGTGATGACAAAAGTTATGGAAACATATCAGCCAAATGCAGTTGTACTTCAATGTGGTGCTGATTCACTTACTGGAGATCGTCTTGGTTGTTTCAATTTAACACTTAAAGGTTAGTTTTGTTTTTCTTTAAATTATAAGGTTTAACTCTTTCAAGGCGAGAGATGCATCTAGGTGTTCGCCGGTCTAAAATAGTTCAGACTTATACATACGTACAATTTATCAATGATCTAATTGGCATTGCTCTATTATTTAATACGATTGACCTACATATGTGTCGTATCAGTCTTTGAAAGATTAATTTATTTTAATTAATTTCATTATTTTGCTTCGAAAAAAAAAACAATTATCTTCTCTTGAAAAAGTTAATAAACGATGTATTTGTTTTTTTTCTTTTCGTAATTTTAGGTCATGGTAAATGTGTGGAATTTATTAAAAGTTTTAATTTACCAATATTACTTCTTGGTGGTGGAGGTTATACAATTCGAAATGTTGCACGTGCTTGGACAAATGAAACAGCTATTGCACTTAATCAAGAGATTTCAAATGGTAAGGAAGAATTTTTTTTTTTAGTTTTATTTAAATATATTTACTTATAGAATTACCTTATAATGATTATTTTGAATATTATGGGCCAGATTTCAAATTAAATATTAGTCCATCGAATATGCCAAATCAAAATAATGCAGAATATTTAGATAAAATCAAGTAAATATTAACGAAAAAAACAAAAAAACTTTCTGTTTTTTTAAATAAATATAAATATTATCATTGAATAGAGTTAAACTTTTTGACAATCTTCGAATGTTACCTCATGTACCTGGTGTTCAAATGCAACGTAAGTTTTATTTAATAACAAAAAGACATTTTCTGAATAAAATTATTTTCTAGCTATTCTTGATGATATTATGGATGTCGATCGAGTTGTTGATGAAGATAAAGATAGTGATCCTAATAAAGTAATATAAATATAGAAGAAAAAACAAAACAATAATTATTTATTTAATTAATTAATTTAGCGTATTTCACAAGTACAAAGTGATCGTCGTGTTGTTGATGAACGTGAATTCTCTGATTCAGAAGATGAAGATGGTGATAAACGACGTAATCAATCAAATGCAAAACAAATTGCTAACAAACGTAAATCAAGTTTAGAATCAATTAATGGTATTCATCATTATATATTTTTGTTTTTGTTTAAAAAAAAAAATCAAATCATTTGAATTTTTTTTTTTTGTAAGGTACATCAATCAATGGCAATGAGGTAATCTTACCATCTGGTACAACTGTTACTCAAGATACAAAGATTACTGAATCGACTACTGTTATTTCATCTGTAACTGATAAAACATCTGAAAATAGACTATCAGATGACACAACAAGATCTACAAGACCATCTGAAGAAGAAACAATTGTAACAACAAAAGAAGAAATAACAAAAATAACAACTGCACTTGTTGAAAATCAACCATCTACAACTGTTACAGATGATAGTATACCAAGAGAAGCTCTTACTGCACCACTTACAGATGGCATGGATACATCAGAGTATGGTTTTCTTCTTTTTTCTTTCCGTTTTTTTGAATTGATTTTTTTTTCTTTTTTTTTTTTAGAGCGTCCGAAATATGATTATGGTGTACTTTTATAAGAATAACAATAAGTCTCATTAAATTGATATATTTGTTTTTTGGAAAACGTCAAAATCCCATATGCTTCTTGTATCTGTGTGCATTTTGATTTTCTCTTTTTTTTTTCGTTTGTTGAAATATGTTCTACTAGTTGTAAAGAAACAAAAAAAGCGAAGAAATCTCTTATTCATATTCTATGTCTGTTCGTATAGCTGTTTTCTACTGTGGTGTAAATCAAGTTTAACTTTGTCTTCTTTGTTCTTTTCTTTTATGTTTGCAAAACCAAAAAAAAAACAATTTCTGTGTGTGTTGATGTAATAAGAAAAAAAAGATACATCGTTCAATATTAGTTGTTCCAATAATTGAAAGCTTTTCATATTCCACTTTGATATATATGATGAACAAATGAACATCTATGTAGTTATGTGGACATTGTTGTTTTAATTCAAGATATGTAATTGTACATAGGGTAGTCAAAAAGTTCTCGTAATAGTACTCTAAAATTTCATCCTGATTGATTTTATTCCTGATGTTGGCCTATTCTAGTAGTGAAATCTGTTATGTATTAAAATACCAATACGAAGTTTTACAAGTGTCTATTATGACAAATCTTTAATCAATTTTTTCAACAGCTCTGTT